ACATTGTCTTCTGGGCCACAGTCATGCCATACACATACACACATACATACATACACATTCATACACTCCTCACATTGTCTTTTGGGCCACAGTCATGCCATACACATACACACATACACATACACATACACACACACACACATACACATACACATTCATACACTCCTCACATTGCCTTCTGGGCCATAGTCATGCCAAGCTTGAGCAGAGCTAGTCAGAAGATTCCAGCTGAATATGTGTGGTGAAGTGTCCATTTGTTGGACATGGTGGCTAAATGTTACCAGTGTGGCATAAGAGTTCATGTTATACCTGGTTAGATAAAAACGTCACCTGTGTTTGACGATCCATGGTTTATTTCTTAACTGATGGAGGGATTTCATTTGCGTGTATGAGCTCTAATGTCAAAATTGGCTTACATAAGATGTATGCTCTGTTATTTCAGATTTTTATGCTCCCTGTTACTTTATATGCTGATAGAGTACTGTAGACATGGCCTTGCCTCCTGAGTCTCCTGTGCTGAGATATTTTGATGCTGGGGTGATTTGTGCTTGAAGAGCCTGAGTTACTAGACATATCTCATTGTCCTACTGTGCTGCTATTGTGTGACTATGAAACTCCTGATTAACCAGGTAAAAATGGCACTGGAATGGTGTTTTCTTCTTTGGATGGCCCTAGGCTAGGGTTGGAGGCTCTTCTGGTACAGTAGAGTAGTAGCCCTGCCCAGGCCCAGGGCTAGATGAGGAGAGTTTGAGGACTGATGAGAAAGTCGGTTCTTTCAAAAGTTATTGAAAGTAGTGAAAGGAGGCTAGAGATCTGGTTATTCTTCCAGAGGACCCAAGTTTGATTTCCAGCACCCATGTTGGGTGGCTCAAAACCACCTGTAACTCCAGTTCCCCCAGGAGTTCCAGTGGACTCTCTTGCCCTCCACAAGCATGTGAATACAGATAAACACATAGAGGTAAATGAAATCTACACATACATGCAAGCAAAACTCTCATTTGTAAAATAATAAATCTTTTTATTATTATTTTAAAAAGAAAAAAAGTAGGAGACAAAGCTGAAACTCATCCCATGAGAATAGGTGGTAGATATCTGTCAGGCCCCCGTCATGGTGGTATCAGGGTGTAAATGCAGGAAGCTTAGAGGCCTCTGCATGTTTGTAAAAGAGGGAATGTGCCCTAGAATCTGATGAGGATTCCTTTTTCCTTCCATGCCTTTAGGGGTTTCTGAATGTTAGTTGGCTGTACCAAAAGTAACATTTGCAATGGAGCCTAGTTGATACTTCTTGACTCCATTAGAATCACTAATGTAAAGACAAAAAGTGAGTTATTGAGGCTGGAGAGATACCTCATTTGCTCTTCCAGAGGACCCAGGGTTAAAGTCCCAGCACTCATGTTGGGGCTCACAGTTGTCTATAACTCCAGTCCTAAGGGATCCACCATACTCTTTTTGCCTCCACTGGCACCAGGCATGCATGTGGTGTACACACATACATGCAAACAAAACATACAAACACTTAAAAATAAAATTTTTAAAAATTCTAGTATATAGAAAAGTGAGTTACTGCTTCATTCACAGCCAGCCACAGGCAGCCTTGGAAATGAGGTGTGGAAATGGCTCGGTTCCAGCAGAAGAGCATCTGACTCTTGTCTCCCTAGTTCAGTTCTTCTGATGTGACCATTTAAAGTGAGACCACGGGTTGTTAAGGTAGTGTTTGTATTACTGTATTGTTTCTTTAATTCACTTATTTGCTTTCACTTTTGGCAGAAGATAAAAGAATGAGGAACATGTCCAGACAGTAGTATGTAAGTTAAATGCTGGGGTAGGCATCATGAACACTTGTAATCCTGTAGTATCTAGAAGGTTTAAGGGAGGGGGATTGCTGTGAGTTTGAGGCCAGCCTGGGCTACCTAGTGAATTCTAGGCCAGCCTAGGTTACAATATGAGACTCCATCTCAGAAAACCAACCAAGCAACCAAGAGTAAAAAGGAATGAAAGGTTCAGATCAGTCCCTGTTGGGTTTATTTTGTCCCAGCACTTGGGAGGCTGAGGCAGGAGGAATGTGAACAGAGTAGACTAAGCTACATAGTAACAAGACCATCATCTAAAAAAACAAGAACACACTTTTGGCAGAAGATAAAAATATGAGGAAAATGTCCAGACAGTAAGTAATATATAAGCTTAACCCCTTCAAATGTCCCACAGACATGGGCAGTGCGTTCTCTCAGGATACCTAGGCTTTATAAAGGCTTTCATGGTCTCTAGAATATTATGAACAAAACACAGTGATCATTTGTTATAGTTCTCATACTTGAGTGCATCTGGAGATAGTTCATAGTTATGGCAGTCGGTATTTCTTACAGAAAATCTTTCCTTTTGTGGCAACATTTTTATAGCTTGTGTGAATTCCTTTTTTTTAAATGACATAAAACAGTATTTTTGCACAGTTGTAACCATGTGTGATGGTGTCACTATAACCAAAGTACATGCACCAGCCCTTGTGCATTTATTGTTCCCTCTGGTATTGTGCACTTAAAATGTCCAAATACAAACCTTTGTAACTGTGAAGAATCTAGCAGCACAGCATGCCCGTGACCTGCCTGCTGCAGTGTGAGCTGTGACCAATAAGCAGGCCCTGTAAAGTTCTAAGGTGCTCTCAGGCAAGGGAGTACATTATAAAAACAAATTGTGTTAACAATAAATCTACCTTAGCTAAAAGAACGTTTGTTTTATGTGAACTTGTACAGTAAATAAAGTGGAGTTATCAGTAACATTTTGACTGGTTTTTGCTATCGAAATTGACTCAGGTCAGAACTAGTTGTTCCCCTGAAGCTTTCAGCACTACTATTGCTAGGGGCTTTGTGCCATACTCACCCGATGGATCGGCTGCCTGAGGTTTAGAAGTTATAATGGTGTAAAATTTAACAAGTTAAGAGTTGTTGACTGGAGGCAAGGCTTGGTGATCAAGAGGACTGGCTCCTCTTCTGGATTCCTAGCATCCACTTGGTGGCTCACAACTGCCAACTCCAGTTCCAGGGCATCTCCTTTGGGCACCAAGCATGCATGTCGGTACACAGACATAGAAACATGCAGTGAAAAGTTCCATACACATAAAATCTTCGGAAAGTTAAACTATAATCTACACTTCTGATTAGATAATTACCAACAGCAAAAATCTAAAGGTTCTAATTCCTGGCCCACTTTTTAAACTGCTACAGAAAACCTTGATAAAACCAAAGGCTATAGAGTCCTACAGTGTTTGTACTATGTTGTGACATAAAATCGTTGCAGTGACACCAGGTTGCCTCTTCAGTATCCCTTATGGATGCTCTGAGCACATTTGGGACAAACTCACTAAAGGCAGTCTTGCTTTCTTACAGCATAGAACTGTGTTTGGATGAGAAATATGGGAGACAGCACAAAGTGGTATCAACTCTAGGGCTTATGTCCTTAAGATCACCTTCTTCTATTGGGAAGAGATAAAAATGTATATAGAGAAGTGTTCTCTGATGCCTGCTGTGACTTTGCATTGCAGAAGGGGGAGAGCCCTCATGCTATACACTCCCCAGATCAACACTGACCACTCCTGAGCAGAGGCCATTCTCCTCTGTCTGCCACTGGAGTTCAAGAATGTAGGTCAATCTGCAGTGCTGACTATATAAATAGAAGTTTATAGACCCTGACTTGAAGTTTTAATGTTCATGCTATTAAACAAATGAGACTAAAAGAATCTATGTCTATGGATCCTACCCTAAGTTATAATTATATTTAGAAGGACTTTTACAAAGCAGACATTTATTAACACATTAAACAATTTTATTTAGAACTTCTAAAGAAACAAATTCAAGACAGTTCTTCCAGTAGGTAACAAAATAATCTATTGTGTAAATTCCTTCTCATCAAGATGACTTTATTCCATAACACAGTATATCAGCTGGGCAGGCTTGTTCTTAGCAGATAAAATGGTCATGTGCCAGTCACTAGTCTTCTGTTTTTGTCTGTAAACACAACTAGATTGCCAGGTCATAACCGAATGTGAAATAATTCAGCCCTGAACTTTCAAGAGCAAGTGGGAAATATTACCAGCACCTGGAACTCCTTTTGGTGGCTTCACCAGCTACTTAGGATGTTACCACAAAGTGAGCACTGGGTAACAACTCTCAGTTTCTATCATAGTGTGACCTATCTTCACCCTGCATACATTAGGTGTCTTTCCCTTAGAAACCAGAGTGTTCTCGAAGCAAGTTTTTAGTAAGTTAAAAACAGAGGAAAAGCAACCAGAAGGCATAAGAATTCCCCCTTTTAAGGCGCTCATAAAATAAATGCTTAAGGGTCACAGGTCGCACAGAGTTTACATATCCAAGGCCCAGCAACCATGCATCAGAAATAGTAAGTACCATAAAATGCATTTTTCATACGAAATTGTTAAACAATTATTAAATTCAGCATGAGAAAGCCAAAGGAACATTTGAAACAACATTCCTGGTTTTCTATGATCCACTTGATTAGGCATAGAAGTTGAGCATGCCAAGGTTTCTGGTCCCCTCTACATCAGGGGGTCTCAACTTTTCCTAACGCTGTGACCCTTTAATATAGTTCCTCATGTTGTAATGACTCCCAACCATACAGTTATTTCCATTGCTACTTCATAACTAATTTTGCGACTGTAATGAATCATAATTAAATATCTTGGGCTGTCTGATGGTTTAGGGCAACCCCTGTGAAAGGGTCACTGAGAACCACTGCTCTAGATTCTTGCATGCTCCTAGAGCGGTGGGTTTGTAGCAGTTACTAGTTTGTGTCATTTTCCACTGTGAAAATGGGTGTTTTGGGGACTCTGGACATTATAAAAAAGCCTGCAAAAGGACTCTAAAGATTTGCCAGGCTCACTCACCATGCTATTTGTAAAATGTGCCTAGCTAAATGCTCTGACACCTAGGCTGCATTTCTCACACTTCTGAAGAGAGACAACTGTCTGCTGGATTCTTTGGTAGGACAGCTTTGACTTAATCTGATTTAGGGAATGAAACTGAACAGCTCATCCAGGTTGAACGTTACAACAGACTCCTTACCTGCACACATGCTAAGGTACTACACTGAACATGTTCCACCTGCCAATCATCTTTTTGTGCCTACAAAAAGGGGGTTGGAGAGAAACAAATGGAATTATCTACTTCTTCAATCCCATTCTAGGGTCCCCAGAATAAATCTTATTTCCTTTTATCTCAGGAAGAAACAGCTGAAAATAAATGGCCCCAGTTCTACTTTAACTTTGTAGAAAAATGCCCTAAAGGGATCAGAGTGAAGTAAACACACATGGAGGTATAAGGCAGGGTGAGACCAGGAGACCACGAACAGCACTTTCCCAAGTTGGGTCAATGCTGTGTACTCTGTGATTAAGACAAGCAGTGGTTTAGACATCAAGAGAATCAAGCATTAGTGTGATTGACAAGTACAGCTACACCAGGGTTAAGTAAGCTATGCTAACTGCCGTGTTTGCTGATGAAATGTAACTGAGATCATGCAGATCAGAATATTAACGGGAAAGCTTCAAGTGTGATACAGACGTGCAAGGTCATGGGAGTTTGGGAAATCTGCAAGGCCAGTCTTGCCTACATCTTTGCACAGACTTTTTCCTCAGCCCCTGGCATCACCTGGAATACAGTAATTACACAGACTGGTTGGCACACAACTTCAAGTTCTCACTCCATATTGGTCAATGAGGGGAGGTGTGCAGGCATGGAGACTGTCTGTGGAGTCAGCTCACCAAGTGCACTGATGGAAGTGGTAAGCAGAGTATCCTGAGACACCACTGCTTTGCAAACAGTGTCCGTAGAACTGTTCTCCTGCACAGCAGGCACACTGCCTTGGACTTCCAATAAGTTGTTAAAATGGCTATTTTCACCAAAAGATAGTAATCTATCTGAAAGTTTGGGTGATGCATATTCATCATCAGGATGTTCTGTTTTATGCCCTTCATCATTCTTGGGCGAGCCATCTACTATGACAAGGAAAGACTTCCACGGTGTATTCTTATCATGTATCTGCAATAAAACAAAGCAAGAGTCACTGCATGTGTCTCTACATTCCCCAATTGACAGATACTTATTAATAACACTCGCCCCGGGCGGTGGTGGTGCACGCCTTTAATCCTAGCACTTGGGAGGCAGAGGCAGGCGGATTTCTGAGTTCGAGAGTTCGAGCGAGGCTAGCCTGGTCTACAGAGTGAGTTCCAGGACAGCCAGGACTACACAGAGAAACCCTGTCTCGAAAAACCAAAAAACAAAACAAACAAACAAACAAAAAAACACTCGCATATTTTAAAACAACAGGGTCTCTTTAGGGGCAGACACTGTGGCACACAACCATTAAAAAATAAAAATAATCCTAGCATATGGAAGGCAGAGATGGGAGGTTATATGTCCAAGGTCAGCCTGGAAAACAGAGCTGGACTGTTTATCAATCAAAAAGTTAATATTAAAAAATGAAACAAAAGATCTCCCTGACTTTTAAATCTGTGTACTAATTACCAAATATCTGCCCTGTTCAGCAGCCACTGTTTGGAAATGTTTAACATAGGCTTGGCCATAGGGGTCCTTCACCTTATTGGCTAGATGTCACTGCAGGACACCCAAGGAGAGAACCTGCTACCACCTCTGACCCTGTGGACTGAAATAATGACAGGTATTTGGGGTTAGCAACCTACAGAGCAGAAGGGCTTCGTTTTCAAGCAGGCTACCCATCACTTACTGAGGTGTGCCTCCGGAGGGTAGACTTGTCAGTAAAAGTCCGTCCACACGCATTGCACATGTACGGCTTCTCTCCTGTGTGGATGCGATGATGGCGCTGGAGGGCATTCACCTGGGTGAACTGCTTCCCACACTGGTCACAACAATATGGCCGCTCTCCTGAACAACGAAAGAAGGAAAGTACTCTGGCATCTTCAGTCCACTCTAACTCTGGATTCACATCTGCACACCCTGGGTAGTCTGAGCACTCCCCACAAGAAAAAGTTACATCACAATGATTCAAGGACTGCCTGGCAGAGGCACCAGTTTACTATACTATAATCCCAGGAACTTACAACTGTACCAGAATTAGGTCAGTTCTGTGTGTGCAGCTGACACTGTACTGGTGAAATACGAACCTACTCTCCATTGTAATGGACTGCCCTAATAACAAATAGCATGTGTGTGTACACATATGTACACTAACATTCTTTAACCCCGTGTAATATCTGAATGATGTGGATCATACAAGCATCCATACTCAAGCTGTCAGGCCATAGGAAGCTATGTGCCCTTTCAATAAACCCCATGCTGCAAACACTGTCCCCCATTTGCATACTAAAGTGTTCTCACTTTCACTTTATCAGAACCAGAAACTGGGCCTACAAGGCAGCTCAGCAAGTAAAGGAACCTGCCACCAAGCCTGAGGATCTAAGTTTAATCCTCCAGGACCCACATAGGAAAAGGCAAGAACCAACTCCCACAAGTTGTCCTCTGACCTCCACACATGTCAGGGCACTTAAGTCACCCATACACACACACACACACACACACACACACACACACACACACTAAACTTAATTAAAATATATATAGTTAGCCTGGCAGTAGTAGTGTAAGCCTTTAGTTCCAGTTCTTGGGCAGCAGGGACAGATGGATCTCTTGAGGTCAAGGTCAGCCTGGTCTACAGAGTAAGTTCCAGGATAGTCAGGGTTACACCACAACCCTGTCTAAAAAAAAACAAAACAAAACAAAAAAACAAAAAAAACCCAAAAAAACTAACCTAGGAAGAATGAAAGAAAGAAAGAAGGAAAGACAGAAAGGCAGGAAGCCAAATAAATAAATTAATTAAATAAATTAAATAAATAAGGGAAGGCAGGCCCGTAACCCTAGCACTTGAGGGGTAGAGAGAGGAGGATCAGGAGTTAAAGGTTATCCTTGGCTACATAGCAACTTCAAGAGCTATAAGAAAATCTATCTAAAAAAGAAAACATAAAAATAGGGTCCACTAATTAACATAGTGGTACAGCATTCAGATAGCACATACAAGTTTAATCAAAAGCCTCAGAGTGGGTAAAAAGGTCTAAAAATACTACTTTCACAAAGTTTGGCCAGTTTTCTCCTACAGCTTTTGATTCAGAAGGAATGAATCTGAAACATGCCTCACAGGGTCCCATTCTGAATGCTCAGACTGCTCACTACTGTGAAGGCTGTAGGGTCTTTGTGAACTGGCTACTTCCTGGTGGCCTGGAAGTAGGTTAAGATCATACCACCCCTGGTTCCTACTAGTCTACTCTGGTTTACAATAATGTGAGGAACCTTCCTAAGTCCCTACTGTCATGAACCTGGCCATGCTTTCTCTACCCTGAGAAAATGAAACCTAGGAAACTCTGAGCCACCATCAACCCTCCCTATGAAGTTATTATGGCCATAGTACATTCTCCAAGTACCTTTCTAATAAATCTAACACTTGTGAACTATTTTCTTGCCAGACTGAACTCTCCTCTGGTACTATGCAACCATACCTGTGTGGACTTTAATATGTTGGTAAAGGGAATTCCGCTGGGCAAAGGTCCGCAAACACACTTCACATTTAAAGGGTTTGGATCCAGTGTGGATTCTATTATGATGTTTTAAGTACTCCTTAGAAGCAAAACTCTTGCCACATGTCTCACACATAAAAGGTCTTTCACCTACAGAAAAAGATGAGACAAAAATACCAACAGAGGCATTAAAAACAGCCAGATGAGGAAGAGCTAGTCTTCACTGCAGCAGCTGACACTTTCTAATAAAACATCAACCATACTTCTCTTGCTACTTGCTAAAAGTGTGAATATCCTGGGAAATCCAAACAGCATTCTATTGGACAAGAATCAACTATTACTGTTCAGCCAGCTAAGATTTAAGAAATTTTGTTACTGAAAATAAGAAAATTTTACAACTCTGGGGGTCTTTTGGATCATTCTCAAACAAGTGTTTCCGTAGGTCTTTATGAGAATAAATGTCCCTTTGTTAGAATGAAAGGAAGTTCACAATGGATTACCAAGGCTAGCGACACCAGCCGACTTGACCAGGCTGCAAGGCAATGTGATTGCCTCACTCTTTGTTGTTTTACATTCTTATACCATCAACTGGTGTGCCCCTGATTTTACATACATTAAAACAATGGCTTCATAAAGTTTAAATACATGAATAATCATACACCAACTCTAAATCTATGGTGTGACACTGTCTCCCCAGCTTCCAATGGAATTCTGCATTCCAGTAACAAACGGTTCACACCTCCTTTGTCTGGACTGTGCTTCAACCTGAGACCTGTATTGAGTGCTTACAGGTAAAAGTGTAAGCAAAGAAGACCTGGGTGAAGGAATATAGTACAGAGTAATAGACTAGGCTCTTTGTCCTGAATACTTTACATCAAAAGTTTCAACCACGGGAGTGCAATGCTGAACCAGAATAAAAACAACTTTCTCTCTCATGGTAAACTATCACAAAGATTTTTAGAAATAGAGATAATGTCATATCTAAATAAGATTAGTATTTGCTCCTGGTTTCTGTCCAGGTCTTCAACACCTGGCACTGTGACCATTCATAACTGTTCATAAAAGCACAGATGTGCCCATGCAACTCAAGAGTCTGTCCTCTGAAGAGCCATATCTTGAGCTGGGGCATGGATTTCCAGCCCATGGAAACACTTCCTTACGGCTGGCCCATTATGTTGCTCCCAGTTCTGTTATTAAACATAGCAAGAAGAGAGCTGATCACACAGCTTTTCTTAGATGTCAGAGAATTCTTTAGGCTGTAGTCCTGAAAATAGACCTAAATTAGGGTTATAACTGTTAAGTACCTCTTAGACATCAAAGACCTGTGTGCTCCATTTTAGTGCCTAGTGGCCCAGACCATGGCCATATGTACAGCAGCACTGCAGGCAGCAGGTGTACCTGTACATCTCCTACTAGATGGAAAAGCTGAAGCCTAGCTGTAACCTGCACTGCTGTGATGGATGCCAATTCCTAACTAAGCAACTGCAGTTTTCTTCTATAGCTAGGAAAGATAGTCAATCACAAGAGTGTGGGTATTTACCTGTGTGGCACCTTTTATGATAAATCAGCATGTGGTTCTGAGTGAATCTTGCACCACATTCATCACAGACAAAAGGTCTTTCCCCTGTATGAACTCTGAAAGTACAACATTCAGATGATAACTCAGGGTATATTTCAAAGGTCACTTTGCAATACAATTTCCAAATTCCTCTGTACTATGCAAAAACCATTTCCTCCAAGAGTGCTGAGAAAAAATGACTAATGAAACAGATTGAGAATTCAACATATGTCAAGCAATGGTGACACACACCTTTAATCCCAGCACTTAGGAGGCAGAAGCAGATATGAAATCTCTAATTTTGAGGCCCACCTGGTCTACAGAGCAAGTTCTAGAATGGCCAGAGCTATACACAAAAATCCCAGCTCAGGGGTGGGGATTTATCATTCATCCCAACACAAATAAAGTTTCTGGGCAAGACCCAAGGATTGACATCTCCACTTAGTTCCACATACCAGAGTGGAACTTCCCACTGAGAGCTCCTACATTTTTCCTGGGCCTTATTTATGCTGTGAGGCACTGGAAGGCAGAGACTGCCCTCACATATTTTAATATTAAAGAATATCACTTAATATTTGAGATAACCTTAGGAATTACTGTTGATAAAGTACCATGTGACCAAATATTTTACTGTCATTTCCTAACATGACTATTCAGTCTAAAGAGAAAAATCTGCTCTTACGTTGCTGAGACCCACACAGAAGTATTTCAGTTTCACAACCAGCATGATGGAGCAATCAGCCATGATCTACTGAGTGCGTCCTACACAAGTACTTTGAACTCAGGCACACTGAGAGATGACAACCACCATGCTCTCGTCCCCACGGTTTTGGAGGGCAAAGGTAGAATACAGAAAATTCAACTGCTTGTCTGGAATGAGAAGATATGTACTAAGAACTACAATGTGGCACATGCCTTTGACGCCAGCACTTGGGAGACAGAAGCAGGCACAAACTATACTGCTAAGTTCCAGACCAACAAAGGACTATAAAGTAAGACACTGTCTAAAACAGTGGCTCTCAACCTTTCTAATGCTGCAACCCTTTAAAACATTTCCTCATGTTGTGGTAAGCCCCAATCATAATATTAATTTTGTTGCTACTTCATAATTGTACTTTTGCTACTTTTATGAGTTGTAATGTAAATATCTGATAAGCAGGCGTTCTGATATGTGACCCCTATGAAAGGGTCCTTCAATCTCAAAGGAGTTACAACTCACAGGTTGAGAACCCCTGGTCTAAAACAATGACAAAGAAAAAAAACATAAGGAAATTTGAATATAAGAACTCACTATCCGCCGGGCGGTGGTGGTGCACACCTTTAATCCCAGCACTTGGGAGGCAGAGGCAGGTGGATTTCTGAGTTCGAGGCCAGCCTGGTCTACAGAGTGAGTTCCAGGACAGCCAGGACTATACAGAGAAACCCTATCTCGAAAAAACAAAACAAAACAAAACCAACCAAACAAAAAAAAAACCAAAAAACTAACTATCCAAGCCACATGGCGGTGGCACATGCCTTTAATCCTAGCACTCAGGAAACAGAGGCAGGCAGATTTCTCAAGGACAGTCTGGTCTAAAGTGAGTTCCAAGAAAGCCAAAGCTAAACAGAGAAACCCTGTCTCAAAACCCAAGACAAAACAAAACTTATTATTTACCTACAGTCTGCAAACAATTAGAAAGCATCATTCAAAGGCTAAAGAGATGTCTCAGTAGTTAAGAGTACTTGCTGCTTTTGCAGAGGACCAGCCTTTGGTTCCTGGCACCCACATGTGGCTCACTATCATTGGCTACTTCAGTTCCCGAGTATTTGACATTTGCCTTCTAACATCTTAGGCCAGTAGGCACTTGCATGGTACACATATATGCATTCAGGCAAAACAACATATACATAAAATAAAAATAAATATAACTTTCTTTAAAAGTTAGAAAGTGTGTGGTTCTTAAATCCCAATTCTTAGATCAACCATTGAACGGCACTCCACTCTCCAAGCCCTGAGAACTAAAAGACCACTAGGGAAGTGTCCTATAGCACTCCATATCATTTCATAGAACGTCAATACAACTGAGTGAAGAAAAGGCCCAGTTTTTGCTCAAGTACAGAGTGCCTTGAGACCTCAGGCCACCTCGAGACCAGGCATACAGCACTGAGAATTCTGGATAGCTCTGCTGTACCCTGGCCTCCAGACATGGGAGGAGAGGCCAAAGGTTCTCTGAGAAGTTGAAGACCCATTTCCCTTACTTCCACCTCCAAAGAGGATTAAGAGTTGCCTCAATTTCCCAAGTCCTAGATGGCACCAGTGGGGAAATGAAGATCTACAGAGACAGACATGTTGGTTCAAGTCCTAAAGCCATCTCCGACTGCCCAGTGCATGCTGGCACTTGGGAACCCACATCCCTGCACGCAGGCCACGCCTGCTCCACATAGCAACACTCCCAGGTGGCCGCACCTCAGGTGGGTCTTAAGCGCTGAGGGCTGTGAGAACTTGGCATCACACTTGGTACAGCCGTAGGGCTTGTCGCCCGTGTGTGTGCGCTCATGGAGCCGCAGAGCAGTCTTGGAGCTCAGGCCTTTGCCACACTGGCCACAGCGGTGGCGCTCACCGCCGCCCTCATGCACCTGCAGCACATGCCGTTTCACATCCTTCTTGCGCTTGAACTTCTTTGCACACATTTCGCACGGGAAGTGGCGCTCGCTGCTGTGTACGTGGCGCTGGTGGCTCTTCAGGTTGCAGCGGTTGGCAAAGGTCTGGCCACAGGTGTCACATCGGTACACCACTTCGGTGGCCACACCATGGTGGTACCTGATATGTTTCAGAAAACTCTTCTCGTACAGGAAGGCCTTGTCACAGACAGTGCACTGGAAGTTACTCTTCTTCTTCTCCTCCCCATCTTTCCCTCCTTCCTCTTCTTTCTCCCCCTCCACTTTCTGCGAGCTTTCCTCCAGTTCCACAGTAGCAGGGCAAGGCTCGCTTTTGGAAGCTGGCTCGGTCTCCATCCTCTCATTCTCTGGGCTTTGGTCCTGAGGACACTTGTCATTCTCTGCAGCTTCCTCAGCACTTTTCTGCTGTTCTCGGAGCCTTCTTGTATATTTCTTTTTAGGGATTTCCACAAACACCTTTTTTCCAGCCAGTCTCCCACTCGCTCTTCTGATTTTAGGGAAGGGAGGCTTAGCCACATCTTTCTTCTTGTCCAGTTTTTCCTTGCACTTCTTGGATGGCGTTTCTGGTGAGAGGCCATTGCCCAATCTCTCTATTGGGTAGTCGGAGGAATCTACAAGGCCATTGGAGTGAGCATCCTCTCCTGGTACACTTGCTTTGGAGCTGGGGGTCACACTCACCTGGGGGCCACCGCTGGCCTCCACCTCCTGAGACTCAGAGAAATTCTGCAATTCCAAAAGGACAGACTCCAGCATCTGCTTCTTTAGCTGCAAGCATGTTTCAGAAAGGTCCAAACACTTTAGCTTCTCAGCCACTTCTAGCATCTGCTGCACACGGTCTTCTTCTACCCGCACTCTGGCGGTATAGACAAACTCCAGAAATGAAGCAAAGTCAACAACCTGAACTTCATTCAAGTAAACATTAGTCCTGGTACCGTCTGTACTCTTCTCGTTCAGGAACACCTCCTTAAAAAACTTGCTGGTGGCTGCCAGCACTGCTTTATGGGCCATGAAGTCTTCACGGACACCCTGATTCTCTACACTAACAGTGACATCACACAGGTGGCCCAGAAGGCGGAGCTCATGCATCTCATGCAAAAGGTTCAGTGGTGAAGATTTGGATTCCAGCAACACTGTGCCACTTTCCATCTTCCTCCTAAAAGCAGCTTTAAACACAAAAACAAGAATCAATTAGCTCACGTATGAAGAAACCCTAAAGAAAAAGGGGGGGGGGGGCTTGAAATTATGAGGCTTACATTAGTTCTCGAAAATATAAATAGTAACTAACAAACTCAACTTTTCTCAAACATTCAAATCACAGCTGGATGAGATGTCATCCATCTATAACCAACATTGCCAGATACAATCCCAGCATTTAGAAGATAGAGACAGGAAGACAGGAGTTCAAAACTAATTTCAGCAACTTTGAGGCCAGCCATAACTATATAAGATCCTATCTCAAAACAACAACAACCAAAACATAAAAACAGGATGGGAGAGATGACTCAGCAGTTAAGAAGAGCACATGAGCCGGGCAGTGGGGGCACATGCCTTTAATCCCAGCACTTGGGAGGCAGAGGCAGGAGGATTTCTGAGTTTGAAGCCAGCCTGGTCTACAGAGTGAGTTCCAGGATAGCCAGGGCTACACAAAGAAACCCTGTCTAGAAACAAACAAACAAACAAACAAAACCAAAACAACAACAAAAAAAGAGGACATGGTGTTCCTGCAGAAAACCCAAGTTTAATACCCAGCACCCACATTGGGTGACTCACAACTGTCTCTAACTCTATAGTTTTAGGGAATCTGACTTCTCACACACCTGCACTTACTTGCACATACTCCACAAAGGCATATGCATATTATTAAAAACAAAATTAATCTTAAAAAAAAAAAACACATTAGAACACAGAATCCAATTACACTTCACTTCTAAGCAGTTTCTAAAGTTCCAGAAAGGCTTTCATGAGAAATATTCTCATGAAAACAATACTGGCAAGCCTTCTCCCAGTGATAAGCACAAATCACTCGTTCACCTTTAGTGAAACTCATTAACGCAGTAATTTGCTTATCAAGGTTATTTTCTAATCTACTCAAAGACATATTCCAAAGATATAGGACAATTTATATCTAGGGGTTTTTTTTTTTGAGCAAGTTATTTGAATAATCGCTTTTACCACTGAAAACAGTGAGTACTTCTAGGAAAATAGCTCAAAACCCATCCTCATTTGCAATGTCCTCAAACATCTGGTAAATTGAGTTGCTCTCCTGAAATAATTCAAGTTCCAGAGCTTTACAAACTGTATTACCTTGAGCAAGTTAGAAGTTTCTCTGAACATTCACTTCTTCCTCTCGGAAGACCCAGCTATCCTGAGACTTTATGAAGCACAACATAGCAAACACTTCCCACTTGCCTGACATCTGCTGGTTCATGGTGGGCTTCCTACACATCTGTAAAGGACATGCAATCTTACAAGCTAGTAAGATTAACTGGCTGATGGGCATCTTGAACCTGAGCCTCACGGCCCTGTCTTGGTTCAACTATAGCTTGTCAACACTCCCCTCAACCCCCAGCTTCACCAAATGAAAAATGTTTCCCCAGCAGTTGCCATATCCCCCAAGATTCCTGTCCTGCACTCCAAAATGTTAGTCTAACTTCCTGTCTTCTGCTTTGTGGACTCTCCTCAGAGTCCTCTGATCCTGAATCTAACTTCCCTTTCCAGGTTCACATGCGTTTCCAAGTCTCCACCCTCCAGAGCACTCCTGGATCTCCTTCACCAGACCCTAGACATCACCTTGGACTCCATGTGTCTACCAGGGCCTGCCATTGCCTCTCCATTTCATTCAAGAAACCACTACCCACAATTTCCAGTCTCAAACACAGAAAAGACTTCTAAGGAGCACAACTGTAAATTCGGCACCTGTGGAATGTCATGTCGACAAAAGGGGACTCTACATGAATGTAAACACTACCTACCTACCTACCACCTACCTACCAAGGAAGCTTTAAATAAAGGAAATACTCGTATGAGAGCCACAAGAGGCAATACTCGTGGGCCAATGCTCTTCACAATCCCCGGTCCCAGCCTGAGGACTAAGGCTGCAGACCCCTCTCAGCCTGATGCTCATATGGCCAGCCTGATTACCTAACACCTCGACCTGGCCCCTCAAGGGAACTCGAAGTCTTTCCAGAAGATCTAGCAGCAACTTCACCACCAAGAAGGCCCTGAGCAGATTTCGTTTACTTCCCCTGGGGGCATACACCGGTCGTAGCAAGCGGCTATTTGAGGTCTGGTGACAGCTGTGTTCCACTGTTAACTCACTGGCATTCTGCCGGTCTCTGGGTGGGCCTAGCCTCCACACCAAGGTCGCCGAGTAGTCCCGGGGTCGGGACTCCCAGGCCAGGCCTCCAGGAGACGCTGCTCTCCGCAGCATGTCCACCCTACAAGGATCCTAGCTCTCAGGCAAGGAATAAAGGCCGGTGTCTGTGGCCTCTCTGACGACACCACCTCTGTCTCCACCTTGGCCACCCCGAATCCCAGACCATCGATGATCTACCAAAGCCGCAGGGAGAATGAACTCTTGCGGTCAAGGTACAGCCCTTCCTCCGGCCTCCAGAGCCGATGGACATTTCGGCCTGTCTCACCGCCGCCTCCCAATCCCCGCCCTTTGCCTATATCTCTACAGCCCACCACTCCAAGGGACAAGACACAGGACAGCCTAGAAAACAGCAGTCGGCAGCACGCTCACCTCTCAGCCAGTGCCTCCGCGGGACCCGTACCCTGGCCCAGGCCCGCAGGAACAGTGGACCGCAGGGTCAGCGGATTGGTCCTCACGAGCGCGCCCCGCCCCCTAATGGCCCCGCCCCCCGTAGGCTAGGAAGGCGCTGCGCGCGCACCTCCAGCTGCAAAGGCGGTTCCGGCCGTTGAGTTACGTGGGCCTACGTGAGTTTGGCCCAGTCGACTGGCGAGCAGATCCCGGATTTACCACCCGCGTCGATCGAATGGCGCGCCTGCGCAGAAGACAGCAATGGTTGAGGGCGGAGCTATTTAGCGGAGTTGGGACAAGCTCCAGCTGCGCAGTTACGCTTTGGTCTTCAGGTTGCCAGAAGCTGAACTTTCAAGCCATCCCGGGTGCTCCTTCAACTTTACAAATGCCATGCTCTTACTTTTAACTAGTTCCTGCAAAGAGGCGATCTAGGCCACTGAATTAAGCCAATTACTTGAAATAAAAGTTCACTTCAGTTACAAGGTGAAGCTAATTTAAACTATGTATGACTTCAATATATATTGAAGATTATATCTTGAAATTATATATATATATGTATAAAATCTTCAATATATCTTGAAATATATATATGTATATATGTGTATATACATATACATATATACACACATATATATATATAGTGTGTGTGTGTGTGTGTGTGCGCGCGTGTGATAAGCCATAACTGTTTTTGCTACACAGAAGAATGAAATCTTCATTTACAACCCAGTTCGGAACATAAGTAAAACCATTTTGTGTGCTTTGGAATAATGTAATGTTTGCAAGATGTGCTAAGGAGCCAACCACAAGGCAGCTTCCATGAGCCAAGCAGGCTTCGATATGCTGATGAACCAACTCTGAGCTGTGAGACCCTTAGTCTTTATAATAACATGGTATTATAGGGAATGTTTGTGTGAATAAACTGAGCATATTCAAAAGGTAAATCTATGTGTAAGAAAACTGAGACAGGGAAGCATTTAAACTCCAGCTCGATAGGCTGAGACTGCTTTATTGGACCAGCAAAAGACCCTGACATTTTGTTTGTTTGTTTGTTTGTTTTGTTTTTCGAGACAGGGTTTCTCTGTGTAGTCCTGGCTGTCCTGGAACTCACTTTGTAGACGGGGCTGGTCTCGAACCCAGAAATCCGCCTGCCTCTGCCTCCCAAGTGCTGGGATTAAAGGCGTACGCCACCACCGTCCGGCACGACCCCGACATTTCTATGGGATGAAAGTTGAGTGCACTTAGTGCATCTGGTGGAGAGGTATATATTGTATTCCCTAAAAGGGGGTGGGAGCCAAAGCTGCCTGAGGCCTGGATAGTCTTTCCATCCTGATCCGTAGCCCCAGTGCAGAAAAGGGGTGTGGGAAAACAAAAACAAAAACAAAACAAAAACACACCTACCCATCCCTGAGCAGGAAAACCCACCAATCGCTGAGCTCCCCCTAAATTCAGGGCTTGAAATTCCAGTAATCCTGACCCTGGAAATCTCTGCCCTGAAAAGCTCCTCCCCCAAGAAATCCTTTATAAACCCTGTCTGTGGTTCAGTTCACTATTGTTGCTTCTCCCGGGAGCAGAGGCTGCTTTACTCCTGGAGTCTTCCTTCCCAATAAAATCTATGTGAGGTTTGCTGTGCAGTGAGCTGTAACCCTTTCCCTAGAGCAGAGAAGAACAGAGCTGTGACATTTCTGTAGGGCAAGTCTTCACTTAAGAGCTGCAATACTTACATATATATCTACACACATCGGTGGGTAGCTACTAGGAACTGGGTGTACTCATGCTCTCCTCACGCCCTGTGTGTGTGTGTGTGGGGGGGGGGGATAGGGAGTTAACTTGAATCAAGATGAGTCTTTTGGTACCCAGGTGTATTTATTCTGCAGGTAGAACTGAAAGATCTGGAAGGAACCAAGCATTATTTTTGTGGCTAGGGGCTATTACTCAGTATTGCCCGGCTCAGTTTCTCAGGATTTGAAGCTATTACCCAATAATATGTACATCCTAATTGCCAAGTACCTCACAGCCCACAATCACTCAACTCTTAATGGATTTGTAGCTTGAAGTACTTTGCTAGAAAGGGCTTACTCTTTAAGACCACAAAATTGTTACAGAAATATGCCTTTCCTGTGAGAAATCAGTCTGCACACTTAGAGATTAATGAAGGAAAGGCTCTTTATTAAAAGTGCCATGGCCCCAGCCCAAGCAAAGGGTTTTTTGTTTTGTTTTGTTTTTTTCTTTCTTTTTTTTGTTTTTTTTTTGTTTGTTTGTTTGTTTTTGTTTTTCGAGGCAGGGTTTCTCTGTGTAGCCCTGGCTGTCCTGGAACTCACTCGGTAGACCAGGCTGGCCTTGAACTCAGAAATCCACCTGCCTCTGCCTCCCAAGTGCTGGGATTAAAGGCGTGCGCCACCACCGCCCGGCCAAAGGAAGGTTTTTATTAGCTTACCTTAGGCATATGCATTTTACATGCTTTCATCCTCAAGTCCCTTTTGGGTTCTAGCCCCTGGTTACACTTTGAACAATTTAAACAGAGAAAGACACAGTCTGGCTGCTTAGGCAAATAGTAGATTTCCACAGCAAAGATGTAACATTTTGTCAGAATTATATTATGCACACCAGTTTTGTTGTAGGATTGTTTTTTTGGGTTTTTGTTTTGTTTGGTTTTGGTTTTTTTGTTCTGTTTTTTAATTTGAACGGTTGTTACCCAGGGTCAGTACAGGGGACTTAAGGGCAGACCTGGATTTAATGATGGTTGTAACCTTGCACTGCCCTCCCCACCACCACCACCTACCCACACACAACACACCTTGAGCTGCCTGTTAGAAGAACGTCTTTGAGGATGAACCTAATGGCTGGCCAATTGTGGTGAATACACATTTGCATCCTACCATCCTAAATTTTTCTTCTAACAGGCCTGGTTGGTATACTACTACTTATCTTTGGGGTGTTTTGGAGGTAGCTCCTTTAGCTAAATTCCACTTGTGTGACTTAATGTCTTCTTTGAAAATTAGTAAATCTTTTATAACAGCAATTCTATCACATAGTTTCTTCTACACCAAAGTAACTAAAGTCTGTATTAAATCCTAGTCACCGCCTTCATTTGTGTCCCTTGTACTTCCTGCTCGACTCTGCTGCCCTCATTTCATTCCCCCTCAGTAAATCATTGCCTTAAATTTTCTTCAGATTATCCCGGATTTTATAACTACGGATCTGACTCATACCCATCCTTGTGCCAACAGACTGAAACTATCCACAAGCAAAAGTAAGAGAACAAGACAGAATTCAAAGAACCTCTCCACATCAACAAGAAATCACAGGCAGATAAAGAATGCTACTAGACAATTTTCATTAGAATATGAGTAGGGTCAACTTCTGGAACACTAAACAAGCTGGGCCACGCCCTCCACTGTTGATTAGTATCCTGCAGCGCTTTGTCCCTTTTACAAGAAGACTCGGGCAGCAGCTGGGGCCCAGGTCACTTGGCTTGCCTCTGAGTTTCCCGGGGAACCTTCTTGCAATTGTTTCTGGGTGGTCGCGGGGTGATGACGTTGACGCCTCTCCCCCCCCCCACCCCCCGGGTCCTACAGGTATGATACTATCGTGGTCTTAACAGAAGTGAGTGGCTGTGCGGCCCTGTGACATCCCTTCCAAGCTAAGTTGCCCATCTCGACCACGCGGCGGCGCTCGAGCCTCCCGGTAGCACAACGAAAGAGCAAGGCGGGTGTGGGTGTTGACAGAGGAACCACGCGGCGTTATCGTGGGCGACTTTTCTTGTGCAGTTCCCAGGCCCCAAAATCCAGCCAGTGAGGTTACTTTCCAGTGAGTCAATTATGGGTCAGAGAGTTTTAACAGGCCACAAGTCTTTACCTGCTTTAAATTTGGGCACATTATCACTTTGCTCCTCCCCTCCCCCCATATACACTCCATCTTTAGCCGTTTCTCACAAATGCATTTGGTAATCACCGGGAAAAAAAAAAAAAAAAAGACTGATGCGCTTTTGTAAAGCTATTTCCATTCCTACTTTGGAAAATTCTTGCAAATTCCAAAACCCAAACGCTTCATCTGTGACTCTTTAAACACATTAGAGGACTTTTTTTTTTCCTTTAATTACATTGGGAGGGGATCATACGTTGGGAAGATCAGAGGACAATTTGTAGGAGTCAGTTCTCTCATTTCCACTACGTTGGTCCCTGTAATTAAACATTAAAATCCTAGAATCCAATGTGAGAGAAACATGTCTTTAATTTTTGGTCTATGTTTCTAGAATTTTCGTACCTACTGTAATTTCATTTTACATTCACAAATCACTTACCTTGTCAGTAATAAGCTGAAAATAGTGCAGCTTGCCTTGAATGGTCCTGGGAATGCTTGTGCATCCTCCAAAGTCAGCGGACATTTAGACTTGTCACTCTTCATATCACAAAAGATGCTTGTGATAATGATTTTACTAGCCAGGGGTGGTGGCATATGCTTATCTCAGCACTTTCAATGGAAGATCTTTTTTAAAAGACTGAAATAAGCATGAGGAAATAACAAAGAGCAGAAGCCAACTAAATTGAAAAAAAAAAAAAACAGAAAAAAAAAATCAATGACACAAGCTGTTTATATGAAAACTCAGTAAAATTGGTAATTCCCTAAGAGAAGACAAACATTACTGCTGACAGGAAAACACTTTTCTACCAAGACCATGGGTGCAGTTGCATGTGTCAACAGGCTCCAGTTATTCCATGGGCAGAGTCAGAAGGAACATGTGATCCTGAGTTTTGGAACAGCCTGGGCAACAGTGTGAGCCCCCATCTCAGAGGCACCACCTGCTGTACTTTCTGTTTCTATTCCCTGTACTGTGATCAGCACATGATCCCACTGGTCAAGGTCTTGTGTTGTTTCCTCACAAATCTTAGTGAGCTTTGGATGCTTGATCCTGCCTCACTAGTCCTGAGGGGGACCAGATGATGCCCAGACAGTAGGATTCCTCCCTAATGACTCCATGCCCCATATTATCCTGGTTGCCCCAGAGTGGCCAGGCCTATGTTACTAGCTTTCTTCTGACCAAGGTCCACCAGAAGATCCATAGCCTCTGGATCAGGATCA